GCTTGAAGGAAAATCAAAAGTTGATTTAAAATCAAATTCTTTATGAAAGAATTCTATCAACTGCTGTGTATCAAATGCAAGCCTTATAGCAAAATCTAGTCACAAATTTCTTGTGCCTTTTTCTCTCCTCTGAGTGAAGCAACAGACTACCTCCCTTTTCCCTTCTGGGCAACAGGAGCAATTTCCATCTTCTCTTGTGTTAATAATGAACAGATCTGATATCTGGCTATTTAGACCATTGTGAAAATTATTTCTCACATATATATTAAAATAGTTAAAAACAATAAAAATCAAAACAACTGAAACAACGAAAAGGCCATGATGAACAAATGTTTTGAGCCTGCTACTGAATTATGGGGAATGGGAGTTACTTTAACTCCAGAGGCAGTTTGTTCCATGATACAGGCCTAGCCGCAGAAAAAGGCATATGTAGGCATCCAGTGAATCAGTGGAAGGACATGTAAAAGATGAAGATAGAATTGGTGATCCAAGAGTGTGGGGTGAACTGAATATGAATAAACAGTCTTGCAACTAGTAGTAGTTATTTTCATAATTTTGATGTTTCCATTTAGTAATCATATCTTGTGAAAGAACTTACTTCTCATGAAATAACAAATACAAAACTTAGGATTCCTTGGTTGCAGTGGTAAAGCAAAAATATAAGAATTCTACAGATAATAAAAGCTAAACTTCCCATTCTTAAACCAGAAAATAATTTGATTAAGTGAAAAACCAAATGTAAAATATTCATTATTTTAATGTATCACAAGGAGAAAATTATCCAATACATGGGAAGTAATCCTATGAGTTTTTAAAATTAATTTAGCTTAAGTTATATTTAAATTCAGTTTTTGTCCTGGTATTTTCCACCATTTTTTCTATGAACCTGTCCAAACCTTTAGAATGCAATCTCCCACAGACTAGCCCTTAGCCTTAAACAAGTTTTGCATGCTCATTTTATGGTATTAAACTGTTAGTATTTGCCTCAAATTTCCCTCTGAAGCAAAAGAAATACACATTACATTAACAATCTTAGTTTTTCCATTTTATTGTATAAAATGACAATCTTATTAAATTGTACACAGTATACAATTTTCTTATTTATAAGTTATATACAAGTAATATTTGAGACTTTATTAATTCAATAGATAAAATATCAGAATTTGCAGTAACATATTTAGTTTAGTTGATAGTTATTTCAAGGACTGGTAAACAAGATTTATAAAATAACTACATAATATGTAAATTGATACAAGAAGTCAAGTCCATTTCTTTCGAAAACTGTCATAATTATAAACTCTTTAATCTTTTAATTGCAAGAAATTCCAAGCGTGTTCATTACCATTTCAATGGCCTGCAGTGGATCAACAATCTCTCTTATATTATCTTTCTTTAAATCCCAATCTGGCCTCTGCCTATAGGATGGGAAAAAAAAAATCCATAAAAATAAAAGTAGGATTTGAAGGAGAAAATTAAAGTCAGAACAATTTAGACTTACCGTGAAACTATTTTTGTTTTTACAGGAAGCACTGGAATGGAGCTCTGTCCATTTATGTATGCATCTAACTTCTGTTTGGCAAGCATTCTTTGGACATCCATTTGATGTTTACGGGCTATAAGTTTAAACAATCTCCGAAGGCAAGCAACTACTTTATGGTTGTTTCGAATCTCCTAAAAAGTAAGCAACCATCTTGTTGTTAAAGTACAGTATTTTGTTCAGTGAAACTTCAAACCTATATAATTTTCAAAATCCTTTCTAATTTTCAGTTGGACCACTTTGATGCTGTTTTTATAATCTTAGTATGCCTCATTTACACCAAGTGCTTCCTTTTAAAACTACTCTCTGGTTATAATTTACAGAATTGAGGACACACCAGCCCTCTACAGAAAAGGGCAAATTCAAACACTTAAAATAAGGTATATTTTATTAAATACACAGAATTATGTACAAGAAGAGCTGGTAACTTTTTCAAAAATATCCCATAAAATTGTATGGTCTGCCAATTGTGAGTTGTTTGAACTAAGTTCTGCTTTTAAAGACTATTAGCTGTTACGGGATCCAGGTCAATTTGATTTATGACCTATATACTAGAAGACAAAGATCAGTAGGAATTGACTACTTTGAACTACAGCCCCCAAAGAAGCATCTTCCTTTCTCCCTTGGCACATTTAAGATGATTTGTCAGCATAGCTAGAGAAATAAAACCCTATTGTTAGAATCCAATATCCAAGATTTTGCATTTAACTATATGGTAGCCCTTGTTTAGCGACTGCCTCATTTAGTGACTGTTCCCAGTTACGGTAGTGATGAAAAAGTAACTTTGTGATCAGTCCTCCTCACATTGATAACCTTCACAGGTTTGTATAGCAAAGGAAAGCTGAAGTAAGATCATAAGCACAGTCATGGTTTCACTTAGCAACCGTTTCCTTAACAATTGAGTTGCCAGTCCCAATTGTGGTTGCTAAACAAGGACTACCTGTACTTAAGATGAATCAGTGGCATCCCAGATAAAACCACTATATGTAGGCAAGTATTAATTGGACAGACATATGTGTAATAATAATAGCATAGTGAACGTTTTGCAATATTTTGCCCACTCAGCAGATACATCACATTGCAGTATAAAATAATCACACATTTAATGTGGCAAGAGCTAGTAGAAATATTTGCTCACTATTTAGTTCTAAAGTACTATTATTCTAGAATGGTCCTTTTAAAAGCTCCAGCAACTACCCTGCAGCCTCCAAGTACTAGCTCCTGCACCCTAACCCTAAGTCTAGCCCTAGCCATTTTTTGGCATGCAAACCCTCAACCTGAAAAATAATTTGCACTCCAATTATATATGTAGGTGAAATGCAATTGACACCTAACTACAGCAACCATCAGCATTTAACACTCAGTCAACATCATTTGTTTATTAACTGTAGTAATTCTCTCTTGTTTGCCTGATACAACCTTGACAACTTCCAGATAATAAAGACACAAAGTTAACAAATAAAACTTACAGAAGCTCTCCTTGAGTCCTTTGACAGATGAGCAAATAAGCAGCATGTCTTTGTAAAAATGCTACCACCTTTTTCTGAAGTTTTGTCCCCAGCTCTTTCCCGGTACATCTGAAGTAAATCCAACAATGTTCCTATAGAATTTTCCACCGTATAAACAGCATCAGTAGTCCTTTCATACTTAAATAGAAGAAAAGAGTTTTAAGTCAATTGTCAAGAATCCTACCATGCTTAGTACTGAATTTAAAATCTACTTTCCCTATTTTTCCATAATGAAATATTTTGCTCAAGTACTTTCTGGCTATTTGGCAGACTGATACAGACTACAAGAGCAATGAATAAATTCTTTGCAATTTGAATCACATACTAGGTGAAATGCTAATCAATTTTAAGATGGAAAAAAATTGTGAAAACCAATATCACAGGTATTTTTCAGAACAGAAATTATTTGGCCCTGCATTTTAGAACTGCATTAAATTAAACTTGAAATGGACTTCAAAGATTAAAGCTTAACCCTCATTTACAATATAGCCTGAAATTTAAATTCTGGCATTTATTAAAATTGAGAAAATTATAACATATATAACCTTTATAATACAAACTTACAAAAAATAAAAAACAGCTTAATTTCAACAAACATGAAAGTATATAAATACCTTTGATAAATTAAGCAAGACTTGGACAGAATATCTAATAACATCCATGCTAGGGACACTTCTATTGCAGCTCCGTATCAAAGTAAAAATAGTACTGACTGCTTTACTTTGGGCCATATTTTCACAACAAACAGGAGATAATCTAGTTACAACCTCTGAGAAGAGAAAAACAGGAAAAATACTAACATATTTTCAGAATAATACTTAGCCTAAATATATTGTTGAAAGAAATTTAGTGACCAATCTATTCCTCATGCAACTGGAACCCTGGAAGAAGAGTTGATTGCATGTGTTTACTGAGCCTCATTCTTTACATCAACTCTTAGTCTAGTCCTACAATATTCTACTTCATTGCAGCTTAAGCTCTAAGCATACAAAATTCAAAGGCTTCCAACATAATTTAGAATTCAGAGTTACTACATTCTACATTTCTAGGTACACTGTTATTTAAAACCCCAATTTCTACTGTCTGTGAGGAGTCTATGCAACTGAGCTCTCAACTGCACAAACTTCAGCCTCAGTGTGTGGAGGATGATCAGGGAACAACCAACAGGGCAAGTTAAGTCAACATTTGCTCACTGTTCCAAATGTATGATTCAAACTGCACCATGTACAGAGACTGATTATGACAGCAATCCAGTGGTAAAATAGTGCTTCTTTCAGACATATATTTAGTTTTGACCTAACTGCCTCCCTTCCTGCTTTTCTGTCATTTTAGACACCAGTACTTCTAAAGGCTAAAGTAATAATGGTACTAATAACTAGTTTTCCAAAGTATTTTTGTTTTTCAAATGAAAGGGTGTTTAACTTCATACATATAAGATTGTCTGTATACTGATATTTAAAAATAAAGACTGCCCTCGAATCAAATTACTAACCCAGATCCTTTAAAGCTGCCAGAACATGAGAAAAGTCTTTATATTTAAGAAGATAATCAATAGCAACTGCAGTTCTATTACACAGCTTCTTCTCTTCTTTGCTTTCTTTATTGGCAATGATCAAACTGTCTCGCAGAGATCTGGTTTCTTCTGTATCAGTCTTCTTCCTCCAAGAATATCCTCTCCACAGTGCCTTATAAGTAAGGGGGGGGGGAATCACATGTTAAGGAATAAAAGAGAGGCAGAAATATCCAACCCAGAACATAGCTTTATTACTTAAAAATAAGTTCCACAAAAATTTTCAAGTAATATTGTTTTTCTCCAGTGTTTTCTGAAAGTCACTCAATGAGAATTATGAGAATAAATGGAAAATTTTAGAAAGTGGGCTATTTATCAAACATTTCCAGATAATCCTTGAGCAATATGCAAGATTTTAGACCTAGTTCACAGAGAATCCCAGAAAAAAAATCAAACTGTTTCCATGTTTTGCAACTTTTTAGAGTCAGCTGACCTGAAATGGAATGAGCAAATCATTTGACTTATTTTATTTATTTATTTATTTAAAATATTTGTATACCCGCCCATCTTAAAGCAACTCTGGGCAGTTTACAACCAATAAAGCAGTGTAAAAACGAAGAATAAAAATAAAAACAGAACAACCTGATGCCTTGGCCACGCTTCTCTAAGGCACCGACATTCTCATCCCACCCTGGCCTTTCCCTATCCCAACACCTGGGGGATCATCCAGGTTTTAAGTGCTCTCCAGAAGGATAGAAGGGTAGGGCCTGTCAGATCTGAGGGGAGAGTGTTCAATAGGGCTACGACGGAAAACGCACACTTCCAAGGCTCCTCAAAATGGCAATATTTAAGGGAAGGTACCTGGAGTGTGCCCATCTATCTAATCTGATAGGACAAACAGATGTCCTCAGGGACAGGTGGTCCTGCAGATAACCTGGTCCCATGCAACGTAGGGCTTTAAAGGTAATAACCACCACCTTGAATTACACCTGGAAGGAAACTGGGCAGTGCCAGTGCAGTGTGTGCAACAGGGTATAATATGGGTAAACCTAGGGATGCCCAACGTTCTGGACCAGTTATAACTTCTGGGTGGTCTTCAAGGGCAGCCTCATGTAAAGCATGTTGCAGTAATCCAAATGAGAAATGACCAAGGCATGAGTGACCATGAGCAGGGCCTCCCAGTCGAGGAAAGGGCACAATTGGTGCACAAGATGAATGTGCAAAGTCCCCCTAGCTACAGCTGCCACCTGCTCATCAAGCAGTAGCTGTGAGTCTTGGAGGACCCCCAAATTGCATACCAGCTCTGTCCAGGGTAGTGCAACCCCAACCAGAGTCAAAGATGATATATCCCCATCTTCTGGGGGGCCAAAAATTGAAAGCCACTCCAT